TCATTACAAAATTGACATCACATGATTTGGCTGCTCTTTCCTAGCTGTGCATTTCTCTCTTTTTTCACTATTACAACAACGTGGCTGTATTGAGAAGTTATACCACTGAAATGAATTGCAGTGCGTATGATGCCTAATACTGTACCACTGCAGACTTTTCCAGCACTATCTGGAGAATGCTAGAATGAGGGTTCTAAAGGAATTCTGTACCTTTGTAACTCATAAATTTAGAAGATTAATTCTTTTTTTGCTCATTGAGATCAGTTGCAAAAATATGGCTGAGTTGAGTGTGTTGGATAGGGGGTAAAATGCATTGGAAACATGTCATTGCAGAGAGTGTTTGCTGCACCAGAACAGCCTTAGGTGGGAGGTGAGAGACACGGTAGATAGAGGACACAGGGAGGGAGAAATACAAGCCATTCAAATAATGGAGAATCTGCCTTCCCAGTAAAAACTCTTGTCATTAAAATCACTTCAGTTCAAAAGGGAAAAATAATGATGGACTATATTCTTAAAGAAAGTCACAATATTTGAGTGCAGTTACCTGAAAAAAGTAGGATAAATTTGGAAAGCTTATGGTGTCAGATATAAGAGCCAGCTTGCATGGAGCTAAGACCAGAACTTCCTTGCTGATAATAAGGGTAAACAAGGTAATACTTATTTGAACAAGTGTGGCTTGGGATTTCTTTCCTGTTTGCATCTCTTGAGTCACATAAAGTCACATAAAAATACACTGACAGTTGAAAATTGGAAAAAAAAAATAAATCACAATAATGGCTTTATTTATAAAGCTACCACTTCTTCTGCCAAGTCATTTGGAGTGTTCTGCAGCAAAATAAACATATGGTGAAAATATAAACACAGAAATATGAAAACAACAATTTAAAGAAGAGTCATTTGAGAAAAATGCCAAATTAAAAAAATAGAAAAAGGAAGAAGACAGAGGAGAGAGTCAAAATGATAAATTGTCACTCAAATGTGATGTAAGTAAAATACCTTTGAAGCAGAATGCAAGGAAATCCAGTAATGTCCTCTAAGGTTAAGACTTATGATAAAGTGTATGAGGGGAAAGCAGTGACTGAGGCCAAGGCAGATGCCACCCAGCACTAGAACTCATGAAGAAGAACCACAAATGTCTGCATGGCAAGTTGCACCTCTGTCATTCTGAGGAAAAAAAAAGAAATGAGAAAAGATGAAAGTTTTCTCCCCTGCATATAAGACCTGGCCCACTAGCCTGCACTTCAAGGATGTGCCGGTGCCATAGCAGAAGAAGCAGCAGCCTTCATGGGACAAACCAGCATCTTCTGTGGCTCAGCTCCAAAGGAAAGACTTATCTCAAGAAAAGGGTCCCCACATGAGGGGCACTGTGTGGTCCCTTAGCCTTATCTACTCTCTATTCCTTTTTCCACCTTAATTTGTTACCTGCAAAGGGTCATAGGAAAGGGCATAGTCTGAATCAGAAAATACCCAATAGGAATTTGGATCTTACAAGAGACTGGTGACAACAGGTAACAACAGATCATAGTGTTGTCATCAGGTAATAAACCCATGCAGCTCCTAACACTGCTGAGGCTCCTAAGGCAAAGGTAACCTACCAATCTGCTTAGCATAGCGAACAGCATGCTGAAGGCTTCCTATAACATAGCTCCTGGTGCCATGGATATAGCACCAGTACGATGATGCACAGGAGCTACCTCTGAATTACTCATGCAAGTACCTAGAAACCAGTTATTCATTTCTAACTTTTGAAATCAGACTTGAAAGGAGAAACATTAAAAAACAAACAACGCATGCACTTTCTCTGTTTGTATAAATCTTTACTTTTCCCTTTGTAACTTTAAGTCTCCAAAATTACCTAGAGTGAGTTCCTGGTCAGGAATAGGCTCCAAGCACTTGCATAACATTTCACGCCTTCACAGTCACCTTTCCTTAAAATAGAAAAAAACCCTACATGTCTCCCATTCAGTTCTATGAGACCAGAGGGCCCCATCTCACAAAACACTTAAGAACTTAATTTTAAGCATTTAAACTCAGATGAAGCCTGGAGAACAACGTAATTCAATCCTTGTTGTGCAATAGAAAAAAACAATATATTATTTTGGTAGAAACTCCACCAAAGAACATATTTTTAATTGGAAAATGAAGAAATATTTTGAAACTAGATTAAATCCAAATCAGAACTTGATTCTGTATTCAGATACATAATAAATCTAATTAATGAGAGCATAACACTGAAATCAGAGACTACGTGGAGATTGTTTAACTTTCTGAGAAAAGAAATTGACAGTTTCCTGCCCTTCCCTATGTGAGCATTGACTAAATAAAGTTGTCCTTGTTGGTAGTAAAATACCACAGCAGAATAGTGTGTTGAATGACATGTCTGAGCTGTGGATAGAAAAGCCTGATCAATTATATTTTTATAGAAGCCCTTTAGCTCTCATTAGGGGGAACGTGGGGTCTTAAATGTACTGAGGACTGTACTGAGCACAGTGCTTCTGGCTTCAGAATGCACCACTTAATAAAAAGTTAACTACACCCTGCTCGCTGGCAAAGCCCCGAATGAAACCCCTAGGCAGCCTGAGAGTCTGAAGATACTTATATCACCACATAGTGGTGTATATTTCTGTAGAAGGAGGCTCCACAACCTCTCTGGGCAGTCTGTTCCAAAGCTCCATTACATTTACCATAAAGAAGCTCTTACTCACATTAGCACAAGCTTCCTATGTTCAAGTTTTAGGCTATTACTGCTTGTCCTAATGCTACACACCACTAAGAGCCTGTCTCATCCATCTGGCACTCACCTCCCTTTAGAAGTTTATAAGCATTTATCAGGCCCCCCAACCCCCCCCCCCCCCCCCTCAGACTTCTTTTCTCCAGGCTGAACAAACCCAGGTTACTCAGCCTTTCCTAGCAAGGGAGATGCCCCAGACCCCTAATCATCTTTGTGGCCCTCTGCTGGGTTCCCTCTAGGAGATCCCTGTCTTTTCTGTAACCACGGAGCCCAGAATTGAACACAGTAGAGGGGGAGGATCACCTCCCTCACCTTCTAGCCACAATCTTTTTTGATATACCCCACAATACCACTGGCCTTCTTGGCCACAAGAACACACCACTGGCTCATAGCAAAACTGTTGCCCACCAGGACACCCAAATCCTCCACAGAGCTCATCTCCAGCAGGTCAGCTCCTAACCTGTACTGACATATGCAGTTATTCCTCTCTAGGTACAAGACTCTACACTTGCTTTTGTTGAACCTTATCAGCTTCCTCCCTGCCCAACTCTTCAGTCTGTCCAGGTTCTTAATCCCTCTCGTAGGAGCATCTATTGCTCTCTATGCCTTCTAGATTATTATCATTATCACATATGTAGTTGTTAAATAATGCAGTGGATTTAATCACAATCTAACAGTGTTTTAGCCTTATGTTAGTCCTGAGAGAAGGATGTAAGATAGAACTATGAGGCTGTGCAACCTCCTCCCAGCTTTGTCTTTCCCTGGCTTACACCATGCTGGGACAGCTGCTCTTGGCTGTGGAGCTCCTGATCACTGGAGATGTACATGAACTTGTTTTGTTTTAAATGAAAATTGTACTTTGGATTAGTGCTGTGACTCCAAGGGAACGTCCTTTTCGCGGTGTGATACAAACACTGACGCGTAGCACAGAGAAGCACCAGCACACAGAGATCCTAAAGTTGCAGGGCCAAATCTATTCTTGTACTGGCACTTATGAACTTACATCTGGGATGTATTTGGCCCCTAGTCTGTGAAAGCAGAAAGCTCATGAAAACCTATTGCAATGTTAATGACAATGTTGAGCAGTAAGTAATTTTCCAACAGGTTCCAATACACAGTGGTAATAAATTTCAATGAGGAAATTGTTTTCCTTCTTTATTGGCAGCCAGCTTCATTTAATCAGTCCACTTGAAGGTGGGAATTGTCCAGAAATCCTACTTACTCTTTGGTCTTCAAATGCAGTATCTGACAGTATGCGTTCCTGTGATGTGCCAGAACAGCCTCCTATGGCAGGAGTGGTCTACACAGAAGCAGTCAGTCACTCCCTTTGCTGATCCCAAAGGGCTGAGGTTGGTGGAGGAATAAAACTGACATCCTGGCAGGAGAATGGGAAGGACTAGCTCCCTAACGCAGTAAGTATTACTTGAATGAGATACGACTGGGGGACAACTCAAAATAGTAAAGAAAGGAAAAGTCTGGAAGAAGAGAATCTCGCTGAGATATCACCACCCTCTGAAAGGGAGAGTGTAGATGCTGCAGGATTTTGTGAAGGCAAAGAAAAGGAGGGTACAGGTTGGGGATGCTCATTTCAGAGTTAAACTCTGATTTCAAACACCTGACTCAGAACTAGTAACTTATTGTTTATCCAATTCTTATTGAAACAGCAAAGAGTCAGTCCTGCTCACTGTCAGGAGACACAAGGTGTCTGGGATACTGTAAGAAAGACAACAGGCACTCCATCATCCTGTCTGTACAGCAGGATGTCAGCAGGAGAAGCTGTGGCTAAGGATCTGCTTTTGTTTCTCTTTACAGGAAGAACTGCTACTGGTATAGCTCCCTTTCAACCCTGTTGAGAGCAACAGAAACAACCCTTACATGTCTCTTCTTCAGCTTTATGAGGCTTCTGGAAGTAATAGAAAATGCAGAACCAGCTTCGCAGAAAGTCTATGTGGAACATAGGTGTGTTCCCACATATTTACCACCCTTTCCAGAATTCTCAGTTTAAGCTGAAAAGGGATGCATGGCCTTGTCAGCAGACTTTGATGCTGGAATTATTTTTGTTCTAACTGCAAGATAACAGGATTTGTTGTGATCCTTCGAAAAACACCACAGGAAGAATAACTTGTTTTAAATATAGTTTCATATAACATTTCAAAATGTTAACAGAGCAGAACTAAATAAACAAAGATAATGTACAATCAATAGCTGTACAGAGATTGGGCTAAGAAGGATCATTGAAGTGGAAAGCTAATAATTGAAAAATGCTCACCAGCATCGTAGGCTCCCAGTAAATCCCACAAATAGTGATCTCCAGAAAGAGATCCTTCCTCAGTGGCAGTCAGCACTTACATAGGTCTAGGAGAGGTGCAGCCAGGCTCCACCCCTTCCAGTAGCACAGCTGAATTGCCTTCACCTGTGCTCCCAGGGCTGACTCAATCTTTGCCTCAGGTGATCCATCAGTGGCTCAGGCTGTGATCAACAGTTTCCGTACAGATAAAGGAAAGAATTCAGTGGGAAAATAAAAGGTATTCTAATATCTCTTGATCTTAGCCTCCTTTATAGCATGGACAATAGAGGTCGCTGTCTAGCATATAACTTTCCCCACGCCTCCACAGAAACTTCAGCTGGAGCATAGAGAAACTGAACATATGTTGCTTCACACTAACCATGCTCACATTGCCGTGATACACAGTAACGTATCTGGTTCAGTGCAGTCATCATTTCTATAGAGAACTCCAATGGTGGAAGTATTTCTAAAGAACTCAAGTAATGTAATGTATTACAAACCATTCTTATTTTCCTTAACCAGAGTGAACTTTTCCAGGTGTTCTTTAGCCAAATCACTTAAGCAGTGTCTAGGTTTCTCTACAAACAACGTTCCATTTGCTGACTTACAGTTTTCTGTCCTTTGCCCTCTTTAAAATGTGGGATTCAAATATGCTGCTTCTTAATCTTTAGTAATCTCTTCCTGACCCTTGTGAACTTCTAGGAAATGTCAGAGAAAGCACTGCAGATGTGTCTCTGCTACAGACTTACGGATATACATTATCTGCACTTCAGGCTCTGTCTGCTTTTAGTGCATCTTGTATTTCTAGTGATGATACTGCTGTTATCTCTGACTCATGAACAGAATCTCAACTTCTCATTACTTTCTAAAGACAGCTACAAGTGAGCTGTTTAACAAATGCACTATTTCCTATCACTCAACATCTTTCCCTCACCATCATTTTTCATTGACCCTGTGATTATCCACTGTCTGTTGTGTATATATATAAGATCATTTAACATTTATCACGCTAACCACATATAAACTCCAGAACTGGACTGTTGTAGGTTTTTAATGTGAAATCAAAGTCACTTGCTTGAATGATTTGCAGATGTGATCTTGGAGCTGCCTTTGGGTGCAGTAATGGAAGTGGGTACTGTGGCCAACAGCCTTCCTTGGGTCTGGAGAACAACCACTGTTGACAGGGTTACAGTGAGTCCCAGTCTCTCAGCTCCTAGGTGCTACAACAATGACACACCAAGAGGGCAAGAGGCTATTTGGGTGAAGCAAACATGAACACTTACTTTCAGTTTCTTTAGAAGAGACAAAGGAATTCATGCACATTCTTGGATAACTATACTAAGAATGATGACCACATTGACACTTCCTACTGTGGTTCCGTATGTGTTCCTGGAGCACTCTGGAAGAGCTGACAATGTACTCACTGCTCAATAGGCGACTCCAGCAATGTTTGCAGCAAGACATTAGTGCTTTTGAAAAGGCCTGACATGTTCTACTTTCCTCAACAGCTTTCTGGAATTCTACAGGCAGTGTTTCTACACAAAGTACAGTGTATTTTGTATTTACCATCATCTTTTCTTGCATATTCCTGGCATCTTGCCCTCTCCATAACTCCAGTAACAATTGATGTTCAAGGATGACAGAGAACAGAAAGGGCAATCAGTATAGCTATTGCCACTTAAGGTGTTCCATGTGTTGCTTAACATTTCACGTATGCTGAAAGCTACCTGCAGTTTTGTGTATCTTTAAAAGTATCTTGAAATACATTAAGTATTTTTAGGAGGTGTTATAGGAAATACTTAAAAAATTATGACCATCAAGTAAAATCATTGCATGTTACTATGATACTTGTAAGAAAGAGCACCAAAAAAAAACAAAAAATCCCTCCCAGTAGAACTACAATTCATTATTTTCAGTAGGCATAAGTATCAAACTCCTCTGATTTAGGTAGATGCACAGTAGACACAGTAGACACACCTCTTGTCATACTTTCAGCAATGGCCTTAAGTATTGCCAGCGTGAAATGGAACAGTTGACACATTCACGTGTAGCTAAATAGTAGATACTAAGTCACATTGGTAAAGCTATTCTGAAATTACTGACAGTCAGGAGAATCTAGCCTTTAAATTTCCAACAGGCGTCTGGTGAGATGTAATCACTCATTTTCATTTTTTCCCCCTTTTTCTTCTTTTTCCTTTTTTTTTTTTTTCCCCCATTTTTTCCTTTCCTCTTTCCTTCTTCCTTGTCTTTGCCTTGCCTTACCTTGCCTTGCCTTTTTTCCTGTATGGTTACTCCTAGAACTGCTCTTATGCTGGATTTGCACAGTAATTACAGAATCGCTGCCATCTGCTAAACGACCCGCTTTGCTGATTAGAAGGTTTAAAGAGAATAAACGTAAAGAAGACAACAGATTTTAATGGAAGCTGTCCCCAAGTTTCTCGCTATTCCCGAAGCGAGCCATGCCTGTAGGGACAGTAAGGCGCTGAGGAGCCGCGGTCCCTCCATGCGGCAGCAGCGGCTCACGGGCGATGTCGCCGCCGGTCTCACAGCGCGGCTTCTCCCCACCGGGGCCGTCCGCGGAGCCCAGCAGCGGTGCCGCAGAGCCGGACTCGGCCGCTCGGGGGCGCTGCGCCACCTGCTACGGCGCCTCCTCTCGCCCGAGCGCCGCGGGGGCGCAATGTGCCGCGTCACGGGTCCGTCCCGCCCCGGGGCCGCGCTGTGCCGTTGGGCGCAAGGATGCGCTGGGAGAAGCGAGCCTGGCGAGGGGAAAGCCCTGCTCTCTCGTGCTGCGCGGGCTCTCTGTCTCACTGCCTGCGGGCGCTGCGTGTGGAGCTCAGTGCCCGCTTCTTTGAGGCCCTACGGGTGCTGGGTGTTTGTCTTTTTAGGATATATGAGCATAAGCACCATGCAGATCCTATTCTCAACATATTTTTTACTTTTGCTTTGTTTTGGTCCATCAGCATATTGAAGCTCTGTCTTATTCATAACGGAAACAAATACTTGAGCAGTGTGACAACCCTTCTAGCTTGGCTGGTTGAACGTGGCCACCCAGCGCTACGCAGAATGTCCTGGAGGCCATGAAGTGAGAGAATTACCTGAGGTCATTTCATCCCACAGAAGCTCAGCAGACACACATAGTTGAGAACTCAGTGTGAGCTGTATTGCTAAGTGTCTTACATCTCTCTCTGCTGCCGCATACGTAAATTAAAAACACATCAATATTTCCTAATGGCTGCTGTATTTTGGGTTATTAATAAATTACAGCATCATACACATGAAAATGTTAAAGTGTGAAACTCTCATCTCTGATGGTGAAGTGGAAAACAAGTCATAGCCAGAGGGCTTCAGCAGCCAAGCTGAACTTTAGGCAAAGATGTTGAGTAGCTTTGTATTTAAATAAGTATATATATACATACACATAAGCATTTAAACATTTTTCTTTATTTTATTGTTGTTATGATGATGGTGATGATGATTATTATTATTATTGGAGGCTTCTTGAAATATCACATACAAATAGAAATGAGACTTTATATTGCTGAGATTTCTAATCCAGACACCTCTGCTGGCTGTTAGTTTTCTTCCTCCTGTTGCTCTACTGCCTGGGGAGCCCCAGCTGTGCACGTGGATGGCAGTGGAAATTGGATATATTCATCTCTATTTGCTTTTCAAGGACCTGAGCTGGTCTTAGAGGGACACTTGATTCACAGATCCCACAACTCATCTTTGTTCTAACAAAATTCTCTAGATATGGATCATCTGTATGTAAAGGCCCCAGCTTACTTTTATTCCATTCTTCAAATGTCTTTTGCGACAACTGCATTCATGTCTACTGGAAGCCTCCGCCTGCCCTCTGTGTCACTTTCATTTGAGCTTTTGTTATACTTTGTCAGATTTCTCTGAATTTTAGGAAAAAGGCAGAAAAGGAAAAAGAGGAAAAAAAAAAAGAAGAAAAAGGGAAGACAACTGCTGGCAGTCGTACTGAAGTGTGTCCAGGCTCCCCAGTACGTAATGATGGTCTTAGAGCTGAGGTGAGTCTCACTGATGGAATATGAAGAAAGCATAAAATTAACCCCTCAGGATGAGAAGTTCATTTTTGTGATGACTCTCAAAGAAGTTGTATTTCCCACATTTACCTGAATAGCAGGCCCATAACAAGGGGCAAGTGCTCAGAGGTGGTATATGTCAGGTTTGGCACAGTGCTACTCTAGTGGTACAGCTTCCAGATGGGAACTGGCTCCTGCCATGCCAGCTCAGAGAGCAGGCAGGACAAACACGTGTCTGCCTGCACCCATCTGTACAACCGCCTTCAGGCCCTCAGCTTTCCTGGAAGGTGGGAAAATGCCTTATCACACAGAGCATACAGATTTCCCTATGGGCTCTTGTTCACAGCTATGCAGATAGTACCAATTTCCCTATATTCCTGATTCATCTTTAGAATAACAAGTATTTTTCAGAGTGTACTAGCTAAAACTAATTCATAATAACATAATTTGTCTTGCTGACATGCAAATGTTCACTTGCAATTTCTGCAGAGTATGGGGAACTAATCTTTAAGTTGATTTGAAGAGGTCACTTAGGAATGGGGCAACAGAGCTGTGATGATTCAGCATTTGTTCCTTTCACGCTAGGTGCTTGGGCAGAGAAGCATGAGTAGCATTGTCTTATGCAACGCACCACCAATCTATTAATTTGCACTGAAACATTCTGAATTACAGTTCCAGTTCCCTACATTAACATCTGAGAAAGACAATTGAAGCCCAACAGGTTTTGCCCAATTCTGCCCTTCTGACTTTTCCAATGTCCATCCCACATCCTGTATTCTTTCATAGCACGTTTATGGGATAAAGTTTTCCAACAAAAATGACTGCACTAGCCTTCTCTGTTCATCAAAGCATGAAATCAAGTGGTTGCCTCTTGAAAAACATAAAGGCGTTGTTGTGAACATTACCCTAATATTTATAGGGGAATGGAAAAAATAGCAACTTTTTAAAGAGATTTAACTCAAATCTCCATGTGCAGCGGCGCTGCCTCCGGCCTAAAGCCAGTATAGTTTTTGATCCTAAGCATTGCAATCTGAAGATATCCTGTGTTTCTACAGTTGTGTTTGTTTTGGAAGATGCATAACAAATAACAAAAGGAAGGATATATGAGATATCACAGAGAGCTGTGGGGAAAAGGGTTACAGCTCCAAGGAGGGGGGAGATTTGTGCGTATGGCCTCTGAAAACCAAAAAGCATATGGAGATAACTCTTGCTTTTTCTACACTCCCTTGAGAAAACAAAAATAAAGGACAGAGGAATATCATTTTTTTAATTTACTTTTTATTTTTTAAGCTGTAGTCTTTTGTTGCCAAGGATCAGATACACTTCTAATCAGTTGATCTACTGAAGAGAGGAGCAGAAAGCTAGAAAGCTTTAGCCACAAAATCCTATGGAAGTTTGTAAAGCAAACAGGAAATCGGTGCTGCAAATAGGAGTCTGCAGTGAGGTGGTTGAAATACTGAAGTTCTGCCCTTGGAGAAAAAAAATTAGCCATTGGATTTATCGGATGCAGATCCTAGCACTCAGTAATCACTAAAGAGAGGATTAAGAAGAGGCCCGCGACTAAATGCAAGAGAAATCTCACACATGAGTGAGCAAGGGAAAGGAGGATTATTGACAACATCTGACAAGAAGCAATGTGCGCAGAACAAGCTGAAACAAAGCGATAGGGACAATAGCGATTAACCACAATTGAGCTCTTAATAGAGACAGATTAATTTCAGGTTCTACAAGAGAAAGGAATTAAATCTGTACTCTATTATCTGATCTTATACTGAGGAGGAGAGCAGTTATTTTAAAGAAGATTCATATGGTTGATAAGGAGGGAGGAAATAAGAACAAATTTAAATTAAGACATGGGAAACCAGGGAGAAACAAAACAACAAACACTGACAAGGAGATGGACCAGATGACCTTGCAGGTCTTCTCTATCTCATGCTTTTTGACTTCTCAGGAATTCATCTGGGCCTTGGTAGCACATATTTAAGATATCATATTAATGACCAACTTCAGCAGATTTGTCCAGCTTTTTTTTACAGCTTCTCTGTAATCATAGAATTTTAGAATTACCAAAACGTAACTCTGAGTTTCATCAAATCATATCTTTAAAATACTAGCACCAAACAGAGATGCAGCTTTTCTCCCTTTACAATTCAATGATATCTGTGCTGTGAATTATTTTGATGTTTTTCCAGCTGCTTTCCTAGATTGCTGCTGAGACTAACCAGGATATTTAGCTGTGCAGTCACCCCACAAAGAAGCCCCCCTGTTCACATGCTGGCATACCTCCAGCCTTCATTTGGCCTTTATTGGGCCATTTCATTGCATGCTGTTAGAACTGGGCTGCTCTGGATGTCCTGGCTCTCTGAGGAAAAAGGAGGAGGAAACATCAGTCCTGGATACTGACCCATGGAAGTGTTGAAGGGAATTGCTCAGGGAACAGCCAGCCAGTCACAGGAATGTCACATAGCATTGAATTAAACCAAAGGGTACTGATTAAAATGATAAACCCTTATTTTCAGTAATGTCCTACTATAGTCTATATTTAGATTAATTGGGCCTGATTTTTGTACATGCTGGCAGCTTTGACTGGATTACTGCTGAAGTGCTGGCTGGTACTGGATAGATGCACACAGGAACCCAGCTGAGACTGAGTGATGCTGGGTGTAGCCAGCATTATTATTATTATTTTTTTTTAACTGCTGCTGTTTGTTCTGGTTTTATTTATTTATTTCCAATTTTAAAATGTGCTTTTATTTATTTATCCACTTCTGACTATTGAAAAAGGCAAGAAGCTGCAGAGTAGCATTGCAGGCCGCTGGCAAACATCATCTTCTGAGCTGCTCCTCATCCTCTATTTACCTTCTCTTCTGGGCAGCCCTCTCGCTTATTTGTAGCCTTCAGCCCCTGCAGAAGAAGTATTTGAGAATCCCTCATCAGGGCTGGAACTTGGCCAGGAAGATCTTTAGCCAACTTTCTGGCCATGGTGATTTCTGTGAGTGAGTCAAAGACCATACTTCCTCCATCCTCTTCCTATGCTGTCATCAGGCCATTTCAGCCTCCAGGAGTTACTTTGGTAGCAAATAATTTGTGTGAGCATAAGCAGATGTCAAAAGTTTTTACCCTAGAACGCCCCATGTCATTTACTTTAACTCTACTCTGCTCAAACACATTTTGCGTTCAAAGGGAAATCACAGTAGCTCTCTTCAGATTTTCTTGCCTTTTGCTTTCACAAGGCTGAGGTGCACCAGCCCTTAGCATCAGCCAGAACAATTAGTGTCTGGCTCCATTTAGAGGGGAGATCAGCTGTTGCAAATAGTCTGGGTCAAAGGCCCTCAGTAGCCCATGTACTATAAGTGAAACTGCAGCTCCCACTGAAATTCACTGAGGTGTAGAAGTATGCAAAGCAAATACTCTGCTGCAGAGGCTCTGTACAGATAGTTTATCCAGCTTTGGTTTTATAAACAATACTTCTCTACTTCCTACCTCTTTGTTAGGGTGTGGGAGAACGTGTACAAACAACTGGGAAAGCCCCTGCTATATATACTACCATCCAGTATGTCATAGAGAGAGAGAATAAACATTATCAAACCACCAAACCGTCCTGACTTTTCCCTAACCTTTGCTATGAAATCACCCTATAATTAATGGTTTGATTTTTTAAAACTACTTTCTATTGGATCACATGCATATATAAGAGTTCATCAGTCAAGAACGTATATACACAACTCCTAAAGACTAGGCTCCATTTAAAAATCTTTTTTTTTTCCCCTCTTCTTCAGAAAAGGAGAGAATCATGAAGAACGCCTTAGTATGAGTTGAATTCCAAGCAAGACTGCCCTTTTTGTGTTTTACAGTATTTTACTATCATCCTGAAGCTACATTTTTGTGTCAACAGATTTAAGGTGAGCATCCATTCTTTTCTTCCCCTATCCCCATCTTTTCTTCTCGCATAGCATTTGGGATCTTGAAACCAGAAAACTCTTACGATTTATCAGCTCAAATTGTCTTGCAGCGCAGTTTCAGAGAAGTAATCATTACTACATCCAGACATAATACAGATGTACCAACAATGACATGTCAGTAGAAAGTGCATTATTTAGCCTCCTCCTTCTTCCTTATCTAATCTCATTCCCCTCAACACATTTGTCACTGCTATTGGTGTAATACTTGGAGGTAGGAGTGAAGCATGAGGAGTGGCTGTGCCATGGGCTGCTGGGGCACGGAGATCTGAAGTCAGAGTGCCCCTTGCAGCTAGTGGGCCTGTTCCTTAACTGCTACACGTCCTCAGCCACGGACAGAGGGGATTGGCAGGGTCTGCAAGGGGTTCACAGGCAGCCAACCCTGCTGCCTTTGTGCACTGAATCTGAGAAACCATCCCACAGACACCCCACTGCTGTCCTGCCTGCTTGACTCAATTCTGCTACCATCCCGCAAGCTGCAGGCCATTCAGGTGAAAAGGGCTCAATTCAGCTTCTGCTGTGTCTTCACTGAATGAAAACCAAAGTATTACTTATGGAGATTTTGCTTTAAAAATAAACGTTCTCTGGCCTGACGAAATGTAATGAAGTCTTGAAGAAGGGATGAAACAAGTGCTTTGATTTGTAAGGGAGAAGTTTTTCTTCCATCTCTGTGTCTGAAAAGGTGAAGTGTAAAAATGGTGTTTGTATCTTTTACATGTTTCCTTTAAGAAAAAAAAAACACACACCTAAAGAACAAAAGAAGGACCTCAGTCATTTTGCTAAGAAACATTACTCAAGGAAAAACAATGAAAGCCATGCCAAATCAAGACTCTTCATGCATGACAGTGTAACAAGTCCTCGTTATCTCCCTCTCAAACCCATACTAATGGGTGATTTATTTTTTTCTTGTCACAGCAAATCATTCTATGACTACTTTACATTTTAGGAGTAAAAACTAAACTGTTTAAAGTACAATTGCACCCATTTTAAATTTCAATGTATCTGGGTGCATAGTTATAACTCTTCACACATTTACAACACATGTCATAGAGACATCATGACTCCTACCATACATTGAGTATTTCTGACAAGAGAAAGCCATAAATGGGGTAAACTAGGCTGCTCATCAACTTCCAAGTTTTAATTTCCCTTTTCTCTTTCGTTGAGAGAGAACACAGCTGCTACCTTCCTCACCTGGTTGAGATCTCCACAAGGACACAATTCTCCTCCTGCTCTCCACCACCTACACAATCAGGTGCCAGGTACAGCTGACAGGATATTTTAATAAAAATAAAAGTTATATCAATATAACACATTGATAACTGCAACACAATGGAAAGCACAGCAATAATAGCAGACCAGCAAAGTCCCAGGCAGTAGTAAGCAAAGACTTGATCAGATGCACAGAAACCACAGGCACAGAAACAAAGGAAAGACATTACTTACCTTCAGAAGGCCTTAGATACACAGAAATCTCTAGCAAGATACCCCTGTTTCCACTGCCAACCCTTACATAAGTTCTGGGAAGGGGTGGATCCTGGCTGCACCTCTTCCAGTCACTCAGCTGCATTGCATACACCTGCTCCACACCCTGGTTGGCCCTGCCTTCCCCCCAGGTGCTCAATCACTGGTTCAATCCATGACTCAGCATTTCCACTACAATAACACACTTCTCTTTCTAACAGAGAGGTGTGAGAATATGTAGCAATTATGTGTTGCAGTTCAAGAAATTTGGACTGCAAATGAAACTTTCAAGAGTGTAGCTGACTGATGAATTTAATGCAGTGTGTAACTAGTTCCTACATAGTTAGGGGCTCAGGTGATGCAGATACACACTCGAGTACGATGAATGGCTAGAGCTGTGGGAGGTCCACTACTGACTTTGATTTCATGGTGATGGTCTGCCAGGTTGTTGCTTTCATACCTGTCTTGTTGGAAGCAGTGGTTTTGTTACAAGATCAACCAAGGAGACCTCTTTGTTTCTGTCCTACTTTTTGTACTGTGCTTTTCACAATTTTTAAACACCGTTGCTCATTCATATCCCTTCTGATGACACATGTAACTATCAGGAATAATTACTGGAAACGGATCAGGAACAAGACAGGCACACATGGGAGTGTTTTGAAAGCCAATTGCTAGATGAACTGCAGATGTTCCTTTCAAATACTGGTAGCTATTCTGCTCAAAATTATTTCCAAAAATACAGCACTGAAGGGAATAGCAAATTCTTTGTTTAATCAATACTTTCGCTTTAAAGTACTTTCCCCCCCCCCCCCCCCCCCCCCCCGCTGTTTGGCAATTTAGAAAGGATAGAAAAAGTCACTGCAAATAGAAACTAGAATTTCTCAGACAAAAGCCAGAAGATCCAAAGAGGGGATGGGCAGTTTCTGTTCTCCAATCAATGGCATTTTAAGAAACAAATGAAGTATAAAGTATTTCTTCACAGAACTTTGTCCCGAGTATGGCATGCTTTTGGAAAAAGCATGAAAACAAGAACAGTATGCAGGATATTGCATATTACAAGTACTTCAGGCATTATGAATGGAAAAACAAATACCTATCACTGACAATGTTGTTGCCTCATAGATTATTTTTTCTCTCCTCTGGCTTTCATTATTCCCAAAGTGGTTTGTTTATAAACATCTTAAAACTGTAAGGCTGTGTGCAAAAAACCCAGTTCTTAATGATAATAGTTTTACAGATACCACATCACTTTAAAATGACTTTGTGACTTCTGCACAGGTAACTATTAAGGGCTTCAAATACTGACCCTTTTCAGAAGCTGGGTTGGTTTTAAGCAGTGAAGTGTTTGGGCAAGATTCTTCCTTTTCAAGAGGCGTTCAAAAATAAGAACAGATGCAGATGAACACTTAAATTTCAGGATCAGAAATCAAGCTTTTGTTTAAAAATGTTTAATGACAAGCTACATCAGCTTGAGAAAATATCAGAGAGTGGTTTTGAACTGTGTATCATTCATAAACATTCATAGACTAAAAAAGCCCCAGCTCTTGGAAAGTCAGATACATCAGACATGATGGAGTTGCAATACCTAGATTTCCTCCATCTCCACACCACTAATTTATACCAGAGAAAAACACTTTGCTTTTCTGCTTTTTCATCCCATATACTGTTCAAGATTTAGGGGTGAACTCAAAGGTGGATGATGTTGCCCCTCAATCCAATAGTTATAACAGGTGAAAGAAGCTGTGGGGCTGTAGCAGATGCAGTACTGCTTGCTGATCCCCGTGTCAATGTACACACAAATGATTTCTTTCTCTTCCAAACACCTTGATGCCAGATGAGTTCAGTGGGATCTGCAAGCACCAAAAAGTATCAAAATTGGACAATGATAATATTTGCTGCTACAGTCAAGGCTGTGGCTTCAAGTCAGGTAAAATTTCTCTTGCTGAGATGCTCCTGACATGAGGCGGTGTGGGTAGCACCAACATAAATCACCACCATGCTCTCTCTAGGGAGTGTCGTTGCATTCCCCCCACTGGAATCTGAACTGGGGCTGTGTTCTGCAAACAGAAATAACACGTGTCTGTGCTCCCCAAAAGCAAAATGGCTGAGTGGAAGGAACTTCCGCATTGCACACATTCCAGTTGTTCCTTTGAGCCACAGCCATAACTCCCTCCAGATGTAACCCTTCACTTCTTCCTCTTTACAAGTTTATTTTCCTTGTAAGGAAGAAAAACATGGGAAAGATTTTTAGTGGGTGTAGGCCGAACTGAGAAGTACTGAATGTAAAGAATGAAGAAGGCTTTGTACAACATCTGACTACCGCCACTGAGCTTAGTCACACACAAAGCCCTGAAGAGCTAAACCCTTTCAGATGCCCCTGTTAGGTGAAATCCATCTTCTTGCCTAACAGTACTTGGGAGAGGCGTATGTGCGTATTTGTACACACACAGAGAAAGAAATCTGAGCCTCAATGTACAGCCTGAGCAGGGGGCTGAGTGGCTTTCTGTAGCTGCTCCTGCTGTGGACTCTGGGGCTGGTCAGAGACTGAAGGTGCTGCAGACAATCCCCCTGGAAGGCTGATCACAGCAGACATACATGCAAGCCTGAGGCAGATCCAGAGCTCTCATGCTTCTCTGTCAATGCTTTCTAGAGGAGGACAACCCTCCTTTTTCATACTTCAGTATTCTCCCAAGGGCAGTGTGGTGAACATGGTCGATTTCAGCCTAAGGTTTAGGCTTAGGCACTGTACTGGTTGACACGTACTCTTATTGTCATTGCATGGAGGACAGCAGTCCTTCCTTCTTTCTGTGGCTGGAGGGTGCCTGCCACTAAGCCTCTGTCTAGGCCTTGTGGTGAGTAGCAGCATGATGGTGACAGCTGAAGTGCTGAGTTGTGCTTTTTTAACCCAGACCTCAACCTCATTCCTCCACCTACAGGAGAGCTGGGGACAAGTCTGCTATGTGCTCTTGGCAACGCCATTCCCCAGAGACCCAACAGCAATGATGGCCATAGCCCCCAGAAGACCTTTCTAGGAGTGCTCTAGTGCACCAGACAGAGAAACTGAAGCAACAATCTCAAAACAGTCGTGATGGTTTATGACTTCACTATGATACCCTGCTGATAAATGCTTATGTTTTTACCCCATTAATGAAAGAAAAACTCTGGGTTTATTTCCTCTGAACACAGAAGTAAAGCATGGCACAAACACAAATGTGGTGTCATAGCTTTGGCTTTTATTTACCCATAAGTGTTGCTGGGGCTTTCCGTTTGCCTGGACCTCACCCTTCTGGTAAGTGAATCCCTAAAGCAGGCTTACAAGATGTGGACACACCACGTTTAATCCTCTTGTCCAGGAATAGTTGCTACTAAGATAACAGCAGAACAGAAAACATACAAACCTTCAGGCACCTACACCAAGCTTTATTTTTGAGAACGTGCAGAGATAGAAGTAACAACATGGGAGTGAATGAAGGCTTCCAGCCGAGGTGCGATGGATGCCTGCATTACTACCACACAGCGCATTGGTGTGGAGCCTGCTGGCTTGATGGGTGTCAGGTACAGAAGCTGTCTTCCAAGGATGCTCTGAACAACTGATTCAAATAATTCTTCTTTGGAAAAAGGTACCTACATATACAGGTGTAATAGGTATAGAATAATTCCATATTTTATGTCAACACATAGATTTCCTACAGAGTATTGTTTTTCTTTCTTTTTATTCCCCCTTGCTTTTTTTCTTTGGTCTGGCTTACGTTTAGATTCTTATTAGAAACATTTGATAGTTTCACAAACATGAATTTGACTGCCAAAAGTTAGGTCCCTGAAACCATTATGTAGGTATCTAAAGTGCCTGACTTTCAGAGACGCAGGGCTCAGAGTGGCAGAGCAAGCCAGTGATTCAAGTATAAAAACATATATCTTCAGGTGTTTGTTTTGAGCAATCACATAGGAAATATTTTGGCCACTGTATCCAGGCAAGAAAATTTAAAATGACAAATATTGGAGCATCTAACAAGTTAAACTCTTAAATCATTAGCAGAATATGGCAAGGCTTCTTAACTTTCCAAGACATTCACTGGGAATCTCAAATTAAATAGTTGGAATTCCAAGCTCCTGTAAGTTCATTTGGTATTGCCAAGGGACAACTTTTAGACCAACTATTAGCAACCCTAGGGTTGATTTAAGGGAAATTTAGGAGCCTTAATTCAAGAGTACAATTGGTACCATGTATTGGCTGGGGCTGCCAGCCCCTGGGGCAACTGAGCCTTAGCAGTGCTTTTTACACTGCAGTTCTCCCTACAAGCCTGCGCTTTGCTGCACACACTTGGAGTTGGCTCAGCCTGAGCTCTTCACTGCCAGAGGTTTTGCAACTGGTGCAGCTTAAGAAAGGACCATCGGAGAAAGGGACGCTGTATGTTGAACAGCCTCTTGGCTTCAGCACTTAGGCACAGAGCAGAGAAAGTGGATACTTGGCTGTATTGAGGCCTGAATAACCCATCAGGGCCTGAATAACCATTTATTTCTCAGGGGCACAAGGGAGTTGCTGTCTCATGACTGACACTTCCACTGGCTGTATAAGGCATTGGAATAATAGGGAGAGATGCTCTGTATGGCCTTGCTGGGCCAGATGACTGCTATTTAGATATTAAAATGACCAATTTAGGCATCCGTAATAGGAAGCTTGCTTATTGCTTTGGTGTGCTATAACCATTGCGTATTATGCTGTTCATAATCGTGTCATTGTTTCCGTATGCTTCCTGCTTTATTACATCCATCTGCTGCTCCATATTTTACATTTGAAGTGCAGGCTTTCTGTGCCATGGCTTTGCTCAGTGCCTAGCACACAGTAGAAGCATGCCAACACTCAAATCATGCATTTCCCTCCAGGCCTTGGTAGAAGCACTTGACACTCAAATGGAACAGTTCAGAGAGTAGATCAGAAATATGCTTAATTTCTACTTTGACCACAAACATTTGTGTTGTTTGTGTGCTGATACCTGCCACTAAAGGGAGCAAAAATTCAGAATGTGGATGGCAAAGGGATTGATTTTCCTGAGTTTTCAGAGTCTTTAGGCTGTAAACATCATTGAC